TATTGAGGTGTCCCTTTCGTAAACCCCTAACCCTAGAACCCCAAAACCCCAAAGGCCTAAAACCCCAAAACCCGAAAACCCCAAAGGCCTACAACCCTAAAACACTATACAGTAAAACCATAAAACCCTAAAGCCCTAAAACCCTAAACGCAAAACCCTAAACCCTAAACCCCTAAAACCCCTAAAACCCTAAAATCCCAAAACCCTAAAACCCTAAAACCCCAAATCCCTAAAACCCTAAAACCCCAAAACCCCAAAACCCTAAAGCCCTAAAACCCAAAAACCCCAAAACCCTAAACCCTAAAACCCTAAAACCCTAAAACCCTAAAACCCTAAACCCCATATAGAAGAGATCCACCGGGCGCCTGCACCGCCCATTCCTCCGAAACGGCGTCCTGAACCTGAGACGATGAGCTTGTGAGCTTTGCTCGTTGGGGTTTAGGGTTTAGGGTTTAGGGTTTAGGGTTTAGGGTTTAGGGTTTAGGGTTTAGGGTTTGGGGTTTGGGGTTTGGGGTTTAGGGTTTAGGGTTAGGGTTTAGCCCACAGACCGCACGTTACGCCGCAGCCCAAGACATGTCGTTTAAGCTGCGCACACCGAGACATCGTGGCTTCTGGGCTTAAAATTCAGCGCGCCCTCCACGCGGCTGCGCTTTCCCGCCAATCCATGCCCGCACGATGATAGCGTTTGATACGTTTGTGTGACCAGTGCGTTCGAATGTCCAGATCATCCATGCCCACACCCTGATAACGTCCGTGTGACCAGTGCGTTCGAATGGCCAGAGCATCCATGCCCACACGGTGATAACGTCCGTGTGACCAGTGGGTTCGAATGGCCAGAGCATCCATGCCCGCACGATGATGTCTGTGTGACCAGTGCGTGCGAATGGCCAGAGCGTCCATGGAGACCCGCGCTTTGCAAGCCGACCCCCAACAAATGTTCCTTCTAAGACACGCCCAAAGCGGTGTACCCTCAAGGACACGCCCAAAGCAGCCTCAACAAGGGTTTACCCTTGGATTGTTTGCACTACGCTCCACGCCCGCCACCCCGCCTGACGCGTTCTACACTAACATGCACTTTTAATAAAAACAGGATGTTAACATAATCCTTCTTGCTGTTGCCCTCACCGACGAGAAATACGGTATTTGCGAGGTTTTCGCCATTCCCGCAAGCCCCGCCCGAATAAATGCGCGGCAAGACGCGGGGTCTGAGCGGGGTTTAGGGTTTAGGGTCTAGGGTCTATAGGGTCTAGGGTTTAGGGTTTAGGGTTAACAGAGAGAGGGACGGCTCAGATGTTCAGCCAAGAGGCCACGGCAGTTACGAGCAAGCAGCAGTTTGCTGCTCCGACTGCCACGCTGAAGATCACGAAGCCATGCCTGGCAACCGCAGTTCCCTTCCGCAGTTCCCTTGACATATGGGTTTAGGGTTTTAGGGTTCAGGGTTTAGGGTTTAGAGTTTAGGGTTTAGTGTTTAGGCTTTAGGGTTTAGGGTTTAAGGTTTAAGGTTGGGTAGTTCTCTGATGAGGGCGCATTGCATGTACAGGACCCAAAAAGGAGCCCAAGTTAGAGAACTACCCGAAACCCTAAACCCTAAACCCTAAAACCTAAACTATGGGGCTGACTCTGGCAAGGCACGGGAGTGGCTTCCAGACCGACATCGCGGCTGAGGCGCAGACGGGGCCGAGGCACTCATCAGGAACAACGACTGTATGCAAACCTGACTTGTAGGGGTGTAGGGGTTTAGGGTTTAGGGTTTAGAGTTTAGGGTTTAGGGTTTAGGGTTTAGCTCAGCATCTAGGTTTGCCACTCAGAACTTCCCTTCTCCATTTGTCATGAGATTGAGGAAGCACATGCACAGGCGACAGGAAATGACAAGAGCTTCCAAGACAGCATCTGAGCCTGCGCAATGTCTCCGACAGCTTTCTCCAAGCCTCGGTCCACAGGGGTTTAGGGCTTCGGGTTTCGTAGTAGGTTTAGGGTTTAGGGTTTAGGGTTTAGGGTTTAGGGTTTAGGGTTTAGGGTTTAGGGTTTAGGGTTTAGGGTTTAGGGTTTAGGGTTAGGATTCAATAGCTCGCGGACGAGCGCTCCTCGACCGTGCATCCAAACATCACCCGCGCTAAGCCAATCGGCTGACCAGGTTTCCGGAGGATCTGAGCGTCACTGGCTTTGCCTGGGCACCACACACTATTCCCATCCACTGGAATCTGCTGTCGAATGCGTTGATGAAATTTCGAGCTGGGCACCGCGCCACTGGAAGGTCAGAAGCATCCGGGTCAAAGGGTACCACCGCACGGATGGCAGTGTTGATTAGCTGCAGGGGACAGCAGCAGGGTGCAGGCCAAGCATTGGAACGAGTACAATCTGAGCGGTAAGGCTTCAATGAATATTGCTCTCCGCCCAAGTTATAAAAAAACTGCAGAACCTGACCAAAAACTCAGAGCACAATTCTAACATGTTGGGAAAACCGCTGCGGGGGGGTAGATCCGGCCTTGAAATCCAGCAGCACGAACCCGAAGGAAGCTGGCAGCTCCCCATCGCAGTCCGAGCACGCAAAGCACGTATTGAAGATCATCTGCCAGGCCATCGGTTGCCCCAAGGTGCTGAAAAAGGTGGGGTTTCCGAGATTAGGGGGTACAATACTTGTTTGGGCTTCTTGATAAGGGAATCCTATTATCTTGGGGGGGGTCTACATTAGGGGTCCCTTATTTTCGCAAACCCCTCAAGTAGCTATGTGGTTGTAAGGCCGGATACACGGCTGCACTTCGGGCATGCCACACATGCACTGCACCTCAGACCAACAAGCTTGCCTGGCAAAACACAACCCCAAAAATGATGGTGGCCAGGGACCTCAACTGTCTGCAGCGACTGCTTCTCAGGACAAGGGAGCAGCACAAGGTAGCAGATGGAAGACACCAAAGGACAAAGCATGCCGAGCTTGCGACGCCCACCAGAGCGAAGAGCCACAGTCACGTGCAATGATGACGAAGGCTACATCGGTGTAGCTGTCCAACTGTCCGTGCAGCTCTGTCAAGCCAGCCGTGGCGCATCACAGATTCACAAGCGAACCTTCCACAGCACTGTAGAAGCCAATGGCAGCCACCAACGCCGTTCCTCTGCACTGACGTGCGCAGTTGAAGAGCAACGCTAGGCAGTTGGTAGCTGCATTCCAGTGGAGTAGCACCTGCACTGTGTCAATACATGTATCCGGCCACTGCCACACACGTGGAGCAGCAGCAGTCGGATGAACAGAGTCCCCTCTACTCAAGTACCGTCCGAGACTGCGTGCCTGCCAAAATGACCGAAGCTGGCTGGCCTTCGGAACCAGCTTTTCTCAAAATATCAATTGGACCATGGCATCACAAGGCTGCCACAAGGCTGCCTGCAAAAGCCCAAGCCGCTGGAGCATGGCCAGCTCCATCAGGATCGCCTCGCAGGGGCCATCCCAAGTCCAGTGAGGGTTTAGGGTTTAGGGTTTATATAGGGTTTAGGGTTTCGGGTTCAGGGTTTTGGGTTTAGGGTTTAGGCATTAGGGTTTAGCGTTTAGGGTTTAGGTTTTAGGGTTTAGGGTGTTAGGGTTCTTTAGTAGAGCTGTGCATTTCCTAACTTCTTGCTCTCAAAAAGCGCCCCCTGCCATCGTGAGCATGGCCAGAACCGTTGCAGCATACCTGATCGCTCAAAGAAGCAATGGAGACTCGGATCAAAAGGCTTCGGCCCTGTGCAGTAGCAGCGGTGAGCCCAGTCGTAGTCGTGGTAGAATTAGAAGCTAAGCACTCAACAGTGGATGTAGCAAGTAGCAAGTAGTAGCAAGTGGTAGCAAGTGGTAGCAAGTGGTAGCAAGATCAGCCGCCGCAGCAGCAGCAGTGGGGGAGGAGGTGGGGGTACCAGTACTGGATGCCTGCCAGTGGAAACTCACTCTCAAGCGGCTAGGACTCGGACAGTCCCCAAGCCCAGTAAGGCATGCTTGCCTCACACCTGCAGAGTCCAGTCCGAAGCAACTACAATGAATATGGCAGACTACATTTTCTCTTTGAGGCTGCGGCTGGGTGGCACAGAGACACTGCCACACTTTCACTCAGCTCTAGCAATCCCTCTGGCACAACAACACTTCCATTAAACGCCAAGAGGGAGTGCGAGTCAGTCAGGACACGGCTTCAGGTATTTCGGAGATCAAAGTTCGAGGCTGCGAGGACAGAACTACCATATGCCAACGCCGTATGCCAACCCAGAAGAACCCGGAGAGAAGCAATGAAAACATCACTGCAGCCTGTGGTGGTCAAGGAAAACTGCAGGCACCACCGTGATTGCCACCTGAGCTGCGTCCCGTTTTGTGGGCTTGTCAACAACAACGCCCTCGGATGCCGTGGACCGGACCCACCAGCAAAGGTGGTGGACAGCCAAGAGTCGAAGAAACCTCGCAGCATACTCTGCCAGAAATGGTGGTATCTGGAACACAGCAGAACGTTCCAGCGCCTGCCATACCCACCCGCGTCATTGCAAAGCTCTTCCATGAACGCCCTGGAAGACATGGCGGATCCTGAGATGGCTGCCCTGCCAGAGATTTAAGTCCTCTGGCAGTGACAGAGGCCAGCAATGACCCAAGCGTCAAGCATCAAGTACGTAGGATCTGTTAAACGTCTGAGCACCGGGCGGGTCGGACGGAGTTGCATCCCATTCCTGTCACCCAAGGCATCTCGTGTCATTGCTTCATGTCCTTTGTCCCATGTCACACACATGACCGTGTCATAACCAGTTTTCCTGTGTGCAAGCGGCTTAAGGGTCTGAACCAGGAAACAAGAGCAGTTTTCAAGCACTTAGGTGTCTTCTTTGGAGCATCCGGTTTGACGGACGGTATCCGGGTGCCGGCCGCCCAGAGAACTTCTTTCCTGAGACTACCACCGCTTGGCCTTGGAGCTCTCAAACTCCTTCCGAAGTGGCGACGAGGCCCTGCAGTGTCAGATAAAAGAGCCCATGGAACCGAAGCAAAGAGGTGCAACATGGTGCAACGCTGACAGCAACGTTGAAAGCAAGGGTCGTTGACTTCGCCATGCTGCCTAGAAAATTCTTGGAAGTTCCGTGTGCCATGAGCCCCTTGATTCCTCACGCACACACACACACACACGAAGCATGTAAAAGCGCACCTACGTCCTCTGCAATTGGACCGACATCTTGTCAGCCCTGCCGGCCCTATCGGCCCTGCAAGAACTAAGCGTGTCGAGTGCCTGCGACTGCACACCGCAGAGTGAACACAATGCTTGTTGAATGATCGGCTGGCGCAGGGTGTGTGCTGCCAAAATTTGCTCGTGACTATTGTCTTACAGTCCATCTAGCGCTGCACATCCATCACGTCCTGCATGGTCCTGGTGATGGCCGATGCTTGTCAGTAGCACAAAGACTGCTAACCTGAGGTCTACGACAAGCTCGTGACATTTTTTGTCGGAGTGGGCTCCTCTTAAATCTTAAGCCAATGCTTCAGAAAGCAATCCACGTCGAGCTGCTTTGCGACTGCTTGGAATGCCACGTTGCCAAGAAAAATGCCCCGAAGTGGCGCCGAAACATGAGAAACAGAAAGCAACCGAGAGGTTAAAACCACATCAGGTCAGGTTTCCGGCAACTGCAGCGCCCTCTTTTCTGCTCTCTGCGCCCATGTCTACATCACCTTCCTGGTCCGGAGGTGGCACGGAGGAGAACAGAACCTGCTTTGAGAATGAGGCATTTCCGTCACCAGGGGAAAGCGCTTCAAGTTGCCCTCAATGTGGGGGTTCACGATACTGGAGGTACCCTTTTGGGAGTCCTCATAAAAAGGGGATCTTACTACTATTACTACTGCTATCCGAAACGTGCGCGCGCCTGGCTGCAACCGCCGCGGAGCACCCCGCGCTGCAGGACACGGTAGGGAACCTGGAGACTGCGGCCGCTCGGGGGCTTCCATCTTCTCTCCACTTGGAGGTTCATGGGCAGTTATAAGTAGGGTTATAATTTTGGTAGCTATACTTATAACCTTGCTTAGGGTACTTCTAGCCCTGCTCATAGCTACCCACGAGCCTCCAAGCATCTTCTCTCCATGCCATCCCCTAAACCCTAAATCCTAAACCCTAAACCCTAAACCCTGAACAACTACCCATGAACCTTCAAGCACGCCATCCCAGGGCCTCTGATAGGCTCTGCTTCGCCTTCTCCCCGCGCAACCCAAGCACGGCGGCGGCATTGGCCAAGTCCGCCGGCGACCTGCAACTCAATTTGCTGTTGGTTAGCAGGGAATGGGGGGAAATGAGGTACCCTAGATAATCCCTTAAAGGGTATATATAGCAGGTACCCTATATAATCCTTTAAAGGGTATATATAGGGCCTGATAATGCCCTCATTTCCCTGCTAGCCAAAAGTAAGGCAACTCAAGTGCTTGCGCTCAAACGCGTGTTGCGCACTTGGCAGTTCCCGGCCCTGACTACGAGGCCTCATCTCCAGTGGGTCCAGGGCTCCGCTGCTCAGCATCACGTTTCTGCGAAGCAGCGATTGCCATAGTAATCATGGTAATTATAATCATACTAGTAATAATGGTAATAATCGTCATAATAGTAATAATAGTACCCAACACATGTTTCTGCACCTGCGTATCTTGGAAGCAGACAGCATTAACCCCGCGTCCTGCCACGCGTTACATGGAGAAGCTGCTCAACGTTGGCCAGGAATGTCCGCCGGCGAGCTGTCATATCGTCAGGAGAAGCTGTGCACCAACACAGAACTTAAACATTGCGCAACCAAGCTTCCCCAATCTAGAAAACCAAGCCCGGGATTGCAACACAAGTAAGAGATGAGGGTCGGTAACTTGAGTGCGATATTCCGATTACTTGATCAAATGATGGGCGGCGTGCCGACATCACGAAGTGCATTCCCGAACTCTAACCTCAGCATGTGCAGCGTCTTGAATGAACTGGCAGCCCTGCAGCTCATACATTGCGATTGTGGGATTCGGGTTTGGGTTTAGGGTTTAGGGTTTAGGGTTTAGGGTTTAGGGTTTAGGGTTTAGGGTTTAGGGTTTAGGGTTTAGGGTTTAGGGTTTAGGGTTTAGGGTTTTTAGGGTTTAGGGTTTAGGGTTTAGGGTTTAGGGTTTAGGGTTTAGGGTTTAGGGTTTAGGGTTTAGGGTTTAGGGTTTAGGGTTTAGGGTTTAGGGTTTAGGGTTTAGGGTTTAGGCTAGGTCTGCACAATGCCTTCACAACGCTCCTGTAACTTGACGTCTCTCAGCCAGGGACTCGAAGATACCACCACGATCTCAGAGACCATCACCACAGTAACCACTGAAGCTACTGAAGGCTCGTGTTCAGTTGGGGCACGACTTCTCCAACTTCGGCTCGCTGAGCTCACGGCTAAGGAAAGTCAGCACGTCCTGCAAGAACATGGCAGGACGTGCACGTTCATGCGACGTGCGTTGGGCCATATGCAAGGTTCGAAGACTAAAACAGCATGAAACCCAGCCACTTAGGCACCCCAAGACACATTGTTCTGTTGCGGCCTAAAGCCAAAGCAACCAAATGTGCACAGTCTCACACATGTGCACGGACGCCCCCTGACTTCCCCTGACTTTCACGTCAGACTAGAGCAAAGAATGCTGTACTGCCGTTTGCCACGTGCCGCCCTTGGACCTTCTTACCTGTTACGTCGCCATACGTCGCCCCAGGTTCCCGGTTACGGCGGGCTTCGGCTTCTATTCACGATGCACTGCTTCGCCGGTATGTTTTTCCCGATGCGCCCTTCGGCTCTACACGTTGCGTACCTCACCGGAGGAGTTAAAGCACCCTCTACTCGTTCCCGCAAGACAGCCCCCCACTTTCATGGATGCCACAATGGGGCACAGCACTGAAAGAGGGAATCACGCAATGTCACATCCCCCTCCGCCCCCGCCCCCCCACCAAAAAACGTGGCAGGCCTATGCCAAAGCTGTCATGACAGTGGAAAGTAGCTTGTATCATGCCGAACCAACTTTGAAATTATTAGGTGTGAAGTGCATTCAGCGCTCGATTTTCTCTCTGAATGGTGCCATACCGTGCATGCATTCCTTGCACAAAACCTTGCCCACACCCTGGCAAAGCGAGCAAACAACTGCACACTAGACAGGCGTTTGGTCCGACGGTCTCTGCCTAAAGTTGCGCGGATCCCTGCAAACTCTAGGCTGTTTAGATGGCTATGCGTTAACGAGGGGCCGAGCACTTGCGCTGCTCATGGTCCGTGCGCATGAGGAACCCGTCCTTGCGCTTCAGCTGAAACGGCACTTTGTCGTCCATCTCCAGGGATATGATGTCACCAATCCCCTGGCATGGTTCTCAATGGTTCTCACGAAACACTGTGAAGTGGATACTGGGATGCGCGGCACTTTAAGTTCACAAAACAACAAATTCGTCTCGACAAACTGCGTGGCGTACGCGTGGTTAGGGTCAGCCTCATTCGCTTTCGAGGCCCACCTCTCTACATACCAACGGCGCCACCTTTTTCCCGGATCCGGCCCTGTCGTTTGGAATGGGAAACGAAAAGGGGCTGGAACCTCAATGGGCTCTGACGAACGCCACGGGCCGAACCGTAGCAGGCATGGGATCAACAGCACAACAGAAAGGTACCGTACTTGGAGGTTCATGGGTAGCTATAAGTGGGATGATACGTAAGGCCGACTATAAGCTGATAACTACCCATGAACCTTCAAGTAGAGGCGTGTCCACAACCTCACTCCAAAACTCCACTCCCAGTGCCTCTGACACTAGCGATGACCAAGCCCCAAAAACTACCCGAAACCACAGCAAAGGACAGCTATGCAAGCCCTAAATCACAACTTCCAACCCTCAGATGCAGCGCAGCTGTTGCCTGAGATTTTGCTTGCGCTCAACGCCACTTGAGGATTCCGCGTTTTCGTCGATCACGCCCCCTCGAACCTCAATTAAGTGAGATCAAAAGGTGGAAGCACGGCATGATGCCGGATCTTGGAAAGAGACCACGAAACGGTCACACCGGTCTTGCTCTTACCTTTCGTGAATTGTGTCGGGGTTCGAGGCAAGCTCGAAGTGGGCGTCGCTTCGAAGGGGGCGTGCAGCCGGAGAAGCTGCTGCGGCGGGGTAGACGCTTCTGCAAGAAGGCCATGGCTGAGAGCAAGGATGCCTTCACTAGTCAACTGATGCCTTCTTGGAGAGTTGCGGCTGAGCGCACGCCAAAATCCTCTCTCATGATGGCGGCAAAAAGAGCCCCGACGTGTTCTCTGTTTAAGTAAAACACTTTCGGTGCCAAGGTGACTTAGGATGGTTCAAGACAGCGCAATTGATGCCGTTGAGGCCGTCACATCTTTACATCTTCACGTTTTCGCGAACAATTCGCATCTTCGCACGGAAATTCGCGTCTTCGCGTCTTCAATTGAGGCACCCGCACGGACATGAATGCGACATCAAGTGAGGGCCCTGATAACACAAGAAACCGATGAATGCCGTTGCTAGTGCCACTTGCAGCTGCTGGGCCTTCTCGCACGCAGCCTCGCGCGAAGCACACGACATCACAAGACACTTGGGTTCTAACATTATATGTTTTATTTTTTAGTAGTAGTCTTATTTGTATGATTACAATATTATTGCAACTATTATTATTATATGTTCTAGCTGTACACGGCCTGGAAGGCTTCCTCAGAGGTGGGGCGCAACGCGAGGATGTGGTACACTGGCCTCGCGCCCAAACAGCTGCAGGAAAGATTCCAGCTGTCCAAAAGCTAAAGCTGAGCATGACTGCTTATGCTCCAGGCTTGCAAAGCAAATATGGCTCCACCTCAAAGCTGAAGCATCTGCTGCAGCTGCCACCTATCAAAGAGGCTTTGCGAAGACTGAGCTCAAAGGCATCACAGACGGGGGGCGGCCGCTGTTGGAGAAGAGTTAGCAGTGGCGACTTTCGAGCTGCAGCACTTCAAGCACCTGTGCCACGTCGGAGGCACAAAGCGTCAATCCTGTCATGACCAGGAGAGAAAGAGCACGTCAAAATTGACGACACCAACAACCGCAAGAATAACCCCCCACACCAACAACCACACCAACAAGCACAACAACAGCCACTGCAGCAGCCACCACAGCAACAGCAGCAACAGCAACAACAGCAACAACGGCAACAACAGCAGCAGCTATCAGCATCCACCACCACCACCACCAGCACCACCACTACCAGCAGCACAACCAGCACCAGCAGCACCAGCAGCAAAAGCAGAACCAGCAGCACCAGCAGCACCAGCAGCAGCAGCAACAGCAGTACCAGCAGCAACAGCAACAACAATCTCAGGAGGAGGTGCTATAACCACAATTGACCCGCCCGCAGTGTCAACCACAGCCAACCTTTACATAACCACGATTGGCGCGCGCGCGCGCGCGCGCAAATTTCCCATGTTTGGAAGCAAGTCGGGGTTTTCGTCGCTGGCATTTCGTGCTCAGTGGCTCTCCCTCCATGGCCCGCATCGAGCACTCTGCCTACTTCTCCAATAGAGCAAGGCCTGCAAAGACCCAAAAAAGCCTTTCAGGAGCCCCCCCCCCCCCCGAGCACCCCAAAACCCAGACGACGTTCGATTTGGCTTTTCCTTTCCGCATTCGCAGCGAAATTGCATGTCTTTGCCCTGCAAAGCCCCAAAAAAGACTTTCGGGCCCCCCCTCCCCCCCCCCCCCAACCCCCCTGAGGCTCAAATACGCCCCCAAAACCCAGACGACGTACGATTTGGCTCTCTCTTTCCACATTCGCAACGAAATGGCACGTCGTTTGCCCTGCGAAGCCCCAAAGAAGCCTTTCAGAACCCCCCCAAACCAAACGACGCACGATTTGGGTTTCTTTTTGTTTTTCCACATTCGCAGCCAAATTGCACGTCAGGCTCAACCAGCCCCGCCAAAACCAAACCACGTACGATTTGGGCCCTCGAAGCCCCAAGAAAGCCTTTCAAAACCCCCCCCAGCCAAATTGCACGTTGTTTGCCCCTCGAAGCCACAAGAAAGCCTTTCAGGAGCCCCCCCCCCCTCCGGCCCCCTTCCCCCTGGACCCATTCCCCCTCCAAGAGCTCAGAAACCGGACACCTCTTCCCCCTGAAAAGCCCAGAAACCGGATGCACTGGACACCCCTTCCCCCTGGACACCCCCACCCAGACCCGGAAAACCGGAAAACTGCAGAACCAAAACGCTGTTATGCATGACCTTGTTTTTGTTTTGCAGTTTCTGTTGTGGTTTCAACCCCAACTCGCAACAACAACGTCGTCAACGTCGTCAACGTCATCAGTATCTTCATCATGTTTCTCACGACGTGCTACTGTCTATTCCGCAGGACAACCTCACGACAGGAAGCGCGCCAGTGAGATCCTGACACTGAATAGAACCCAACATCAGCCAGGCACACGCCGTAGCTGCAAGAGCGCCCCATGCTTCTCGCCGTCCAGGCCTGCCATCCGACGGTGTAATGCCAAACCCTCTGCCTCAGCCGACTTAAGGTTGTTGGTGCCCCCCCTGGCGCCTAAATCCGCAGCCACGGTCCGCCAGAAAGGTCCCTGCCTTGGAGATCTTGCAGAGCAAAAACTTTCGTTTAAAACCCCACTCTTGTGCAGTCCTTATGTGGGTACCCATCGTTGGTTCAAACGTAGTAGAATCCCCTGAAAAGGGATCCGAAGAAGGGCACCCCACCCCGTGGTTCGGAAACCCCGAAAGACCCCAAGGAACTTCTCTATGATCCTGGATAACCCTATAGGAACCCTGCCCTCCGAGTGCTGCTCTGTGTGGGGGACACTGGAACAGGCGGCTGGATGGGACACCTGAGGCATCGACAACTGAGAGCCCCCTGGATTCAAAAGAGGGTAGAAAGAATGTGTGGAGACATCAGAGGCGTTCTTCAGACAAGGCTTGAGAAACTGTGTAGGCTTTACCCCGCTGGGATGAATTATTTAACTAGCATGCACACAGCTGCCGGGTCTGTTTTACAATCGCAGTATCTCGGAATCTGCTTGTCCAAACCCATCCGTGCCGGGAACTTGTCCGAGACGAGCGAGAGGCTCCTGAGACTCCTCAGACGCACGCAAGGCACCCCAGACATTCTAGCGGTCGAGGCCCCGCCATCGATTCTCCGTGTGCCTCCCTGGGGTGTGCTGCGTCTGCGTGCCCTTGTCAGCCGGAGTCCGAGCGCCCAGTGAAGAAGCTCAGCCTTGAAGCTGCTGGAGGATCCCCTCGAAGCAGGGCAACTCCTGGGGCTCCATGCTCCCGCAGCGCACGCGGATCTCCTCCCAGCGGTGGCTTCATGAGGCATCGCGCGAGACGAGACATGCATGGAGTACGAGGATCCTTGCGGCGGAAGCCCTAAACCCTAAACCCTAAACCCGGAAACCCGGGGGGTTGGAAGGGAACGAGCCTTCATGAGCTCCAGCGTCGCTACTTCCCCGTCGTTCCGTGGTTCGGCGTGGCTCTCCAGCAAGTCTTGCAGCAGCCAGCCGAAGCTTCTCACCTCCAGCCTGGCCGCAGTATGGCTGTCTGTGGTTTAGGGTTTAGGGTTTAGGGTCTAGGGTTTAGGGTCTAGGGTTTAGGCTTTAGGCTTTAGGCTTTAGGCTTTAGGCTTTAGGCTTTAGGCTTTAGGCTTTAGGCTTTAGGCTTTAGGCTTTAGGCTTTAGGCTTTAGGGTGTAGGATCAAGTGCGGAACATTTTTGGCGTGAGCGCACACGAGAGCAGCGAAGGCCTGCTCGGAAACTGAGCTCTCGGAAACCCTGTGCCTCCTCAAGTCGGGATCGTCAACGGCAGCCGCAGCGCCAAAGTCAGATAACCGCACGTCCTCAAGGAGGGTTTAGGGTTTAGGGTTTAGGGTTTAGGGTTTGGGGTTTAGGGTTTAGGGTTTAGGGTTTAGGGCTTAGGGAGGAACATGAACATCTTAAGGCAGCGGGCTTCCCCGAATGCTAAGCAAGGTGACCCGCTGACATACGTGCAGAGTGAAACGACTAGCTCCTAGCAGCAACCTCCACGGTGGGCAAAAAGAGCCAGTCCTTCACTGCAGACGCGTCCTTGGAAGCAGATGCCATACATGCATGGCATGCTCTGGGGGACTCACTGTCATTCTCAAGGAACGAAACCCCCTTCTGTCCTTGAGGCCATCCAGCACCACCAGTGTGTTGTGTAGGTAAATGTCGCCATGCATCAAGCCCTGGCAGCTTCAGGCTCTATGCCGAATCCCGGCGGCCCTTTTCTTCTCACAAGGTTGCAGAACTCACGGGCCTTGCTGTGAAGGTACGCGCCCGCAGCGGCGACGTGGGCAGCAATACGGCGTGCGGCCGTGACGGAGTAGGTGGGACCAGGACCGCCGTGGCATGGCAGGGCATCACCTAGGTGTGAGATTTGGCAGCAAGCCTAGCCAACCGCTAGCCGCTAGTTGGAGGTTCAGGGTAATTACTTGGTAACCCCATGAAAACTGTGTAACCCATTTATAAGCCCCTTAAGTACCCCAATCAAGCCAGCAAAGCGTGCACTCGAGCTGAGAAGCGCGTCACCGTCTGGAATGTCGGCGGGCCGGCAGCCGCTTTCGCCCCCTCCAAGAGCTCCAGAACCATGCCTTGCAGTATGAGCTTTGAACGTTGGACAACCATTTGCGCAGCTGAACAACACCAAGTGCGCCCGAAGACCGCGCAACCTTTACGCATGAAGTTCGGGTCAAGGTTGCCACGTCGGGGCTCTTCGAAGGTGCCTGAGCCGAGCCCAGATCTCTGCTTGCGTTGGCTCTAAAGCGTTTTGGGTGTGGAAGGGGGTGAAGGTAGACATACGTAGACATACGTAGACCCCTATCCATGCCCGCTCAGAAACGCAAAGCAGCTTGGCCAAACCGACACTCACCAAAATCATGCCGCGCATGCTGGAGACTTAATGCTTCTCAAGTACCGAAGACCGCTACCAAGCAGGGATGACCTGGCTGCGAAGCCACACGATTGGCGGCCCATTCCGTTCGCGCAGTTCCATCCGAGAAGCACTCCGAATCCCATATCTTCACCGCAACTTTCCGCTCCCGCCAGGTTCCCTCGTGGACAGTTGCGCCCGCACCGCTTCCAAGCTTCTCTCCCAACGTGACCTCGCTGAAGTCCAAGCTTTGTGGCCCCTCCGCGAGGTGTCGAGACAGGGCCCCTTCGGCAAAGGGGTTACCCCCAACTGCAACCCAGGCCAGCCGTGGATGCTTCAAGAGCACCGAAGGGAATTCCTCCAGCATGTTTGCAGCAACGCGGATCATCTCCAGCGAGGCCATCCCAGCCACGGACGACAGCGCCTTGCAGGTGAGCCTGTTGTGGCTGAGCATCAGCTTCCGAACTTTGCCAAGACGGCCAATGTTGGGCAACTCTGCAATCTGATTCCCAGCTGCAATGAGCCACTCCAAGCAGTCCGGCAGCAGGCACCCATCCACACTGGTGAGGCTGTTGTCCTTGATGCCTCATGGGCTCATGGACCACGCGCCACTCGCACCACAGACATGTGACAAAGTTCAACCCCCGGACCCTGAGACTGAACCCCACTTGGCCCACATGACCACTTGCATCCACCTGCCTAGCATGCGCAGGCGCGGGCACGAAGACCAGTTGGGCAATGAAGTCATTCCTTCGCAGTCGGAGGATAACAATGATCTCAGGGCACAAAAAAGGGTGCCACTCTTGCAGCCATCCAAAAACCGTGTGCACAGCTCCACCAAGGTATGCCTGGATTCCAACGCTCGATGCGAAGAGTATCTCAAGCTTCGGGAGACTGGTGATATCTGGAAGGCTTTGCCTCACTCTTGAGTGGTGATAAGCACGCAACATGCCTCTTTCCCAAAGCTTACGAACGTTTTCTCGGAAGGATGCGCACCAAAGGGCCCAAGCCGTACGAAATCTTGAGAAGTCACCAGAAGTGCCGACCCTGCTGTTCTGCGAGGTTTTTCACCCATGTCAAAGGATGTCCAGTCCACATCAGACAAACCCTGAACTAAACCAGGCCTATTTCACAAGCTCCGCCTACGTAGTCCCTCTTGTCTTTCTTTCATACGGTGTTGCCAGCTCTGCCATTTTTACGTGGTGGACACATGCAGAAGCCTACGGGTCTGGGTTCATCCCAAGTTGCAGGGGGTTGCCCCCGATGTCCAATTGAATCAACTGCTCACCTGGGCGGCAACTGCTTAGGTACCCTAAGATACTCGTGAAGTGCACCGCGGAGAACAAGGCTGCAAAAACACACACACACACACACACAACTCTTTGCCATCCAGCAACAATGCCGCAGGGCATCTTCAGGAACAGAAGTGAGTCCTTTCACAAGATGCGTTTGCCACAAACATGGGGAAAACGCCACTCTGCTTCCATCAACCACTCTTGGATCTGTCTCAACTGCATGAGCCATGGTCACCCCCACCTCCCGTTTCACAATTCTAGGATGCCTCACCGAACTTGTTGCAGTGTCTTCGCACTTTCTTAGATAACATGCTGCACACCGTGGGTTAAGAGGCCTTACACCAACCCGCGCCAGCGGTTCTGTAGCAGCCCTGTAGGGGCATATGGTTTCGTCGCCCACTCAGGGGAGACAGCCCAGCTATCGTTTCAACCGGACAGCTCCTACTCCTAGCCTCAGCAAAGCCCTCAGCATCCGTAGAGCCCTCAGGGATACGCAGAAACCTGCCTTTGGGGATGAGTTGGAAAATTGCCTTACCAACCCCCCATCTCAAGCCGAGAATTAATTGGTCCGGGGAAGATACCCCCCCTTGCACGATGTGGTCAGCACCTGCACAAAGCACCCAAACGCTCGGTGCCGGGTTGAAGGTTTAAGGCTCGCTTTTTTTGCGGAGCATCCTTAAACACCTTTGAAAGCCTTGGCGCCGGGTGGTAACGCTGCGGTACATGCTCTTGGGTCGCACAACATCCCCCCCAACTGAACGGGGGGACCATTTAGGGGTTTACGATATTAGGGGTACCTTATTGGGTCCTTGCTTCAAAGGAATCCTACTATTAGGGAGCCTATGTTAGGGGTCCCCTATTTTCGTAAACCCCCGTTTCAAGCTGGCCGTCAGGCTGGGCCAAAGTCGTCCCACATGGCAACCGAATGTCAACCTGTCCTGCTTTGAAAACTTTCAGCACGCGGACGGAAGCCAGAACATCGCCCTTCGCAGTGCACACATTAGGGTTTAGGGTTTAGGGTTTGGGGTTTAGGGTTTAGGGTGTAGGGTTTAGGGTTTAGGGTTGAATCTACACACACCTGTGCGGTGGAATCAGCGCAAACTGTCAGTGCAGCCTGCGGCTCTCGGAGCAGTTGGACAGCTTTGTCACCAGATACCTCCTCTGCCGCCATGGCGGCTGACAATCTCAGGTTCGAGCCACAACTCCGCGGAGAGCACAGGCGTTAAGTTTGCAGCCTTCCGATCTGGGGGTTTACGATATTCGGGGTACCTTATTGGGGTCCCAAAAAGAAAGGGAATCCTGCTATTTGGGGTCTATTTTTAGGGGTTCCCGATTTTCGTAAACCCCCATCTCAAGTTCTAAGCGGTAGGCTGGTGGGAGCGCAAGTCAAGGACTTGCTGTCCCGAGAGGGTGACATTGTAAGCCAAGCCTTCAGAACTCTGAGAAGCGGAGCTGCCATCTTGCAAATGAGAGCACCACACTGCGTTACACTGCTGAGAAGACAGCCGGCGTAGCCAAACCTGCTGCAGATGCACGTGTCTGCGCTTCTGCACGAGCCTGTCTGCGCTTCTGCACTAGCCAACACCTTTGCCAAACCCTCCAGCCTCAGCGCCGACTCAGCAAATGCAGCTGCACGCTTTGCATCCCAAACAACATTCAAGTCCCAGAACATTAGACGGCTGGATCGATTCTGAGCAATGTCCGTGCACATTTTGGTGCACAACTCTGCTGACTTCCGTATGGTGATGTGTGCTACTGATACTGTACCAGTGCCATCAAGACCACACGGCGTATTCTGCAATCAGGGTGCCCGGCCGGACATCTGTCGTGCCGTGGAAAACATTGTCATGCAGCAATGGTGGCAACCCCAAACTGTGCAGATTTTGATGCTCACTCGCTACAGATTTTGAGGTCGAGCCTGAAGCGTGGAGCAGTGAGCTTGCATGCAAATAACAGTCTCTCCGAAAGCGCAAGGACTCACAGAAGCATCTTTTTTCTAAACCACGTGAACGCGAGCAAAGCTCTGTACTGAGCTCGTGATGGCCCTTTCCGATAAGCGAACATACCGTTTGCTTGACCTGAAACCTCTGGACGAAGCAACCTGCAAAACCATATGGTGCACTGTTCTGTGTTCGATTCGTTTCCAGAGCATTCGAGAGTTTTACTGCAGTATGTTCTTCGACGTTCTTCGCCCCTAGTTTAGCCTTGCAAGTTTCGGACAGAATGTCGCTTCGGGACATTTGCTCTACAATCGCCAGAACATAAGCTTCACAGCGAATGCGTGTAAATTTTGTTGGTAGCTGCCCTCTGATGCCGTGCATGAGACAGCCTGCTGCATGTTGAACAGGTAACCGTAGCCATGCTGCATTGTACAGCTTACTTACTAAGCCCCATTCAATTGTGCTCAGGTCGTCTGGGTCAAGGCGATATGCCGTCAAGAAAGAAGCCATCACGCTAAACTGCTGTTTGGCAAAGAAGTTGATCGGCCGCTTCTTGAGTTACGGTCAAAGCTCATGCTGCAAATCAGTCCCTCCAAAGTAAAATAACCGACACTGCCCGTCGCGCGTGCATGCACGCGCACACACACACACACACATCTGCACAAGGTTCATGAGCATGATTTCTGTTCAGGCGCCCCCGCAATTCTCAGACCTTACTCGACAGTCGACTGACGACTTCTAGAACTACTGAGGATGTACCAAGCACCATTGAAGCTTTGAATTAGCCGGCAAAATTGGTCATCAGTCTCATTTACTCTATGCGTTCGATCAACTGCCCGCTCCAAAAGCTCCAAAAGCGCAGCCCTTTAGGCTGCGTCGATTCGCATAGGGAAGCTTGCGACTTCAGGGCCGGGTGTGGGGAGGGGACGATGGAGCCCTATACTAGTACTTCCGTGCTCCTACCGTTCGCTCCTTGCTTGTAGCCCTAGTATGGGTGGGGGATTCTTTGAACATCACTAGAAAGTCTCAACAGGACCTTCAAAAGGACCGTCTGCAGCTTCGCATCCGTTAACCCTTCCGAGTTCCATCTAACTCTGAGATGCCTCCAGCGCCTCAAAGTCCAAAGTGTCCTCATGCATCCTCCTCTCTTTCATGTTGCCAAAATGCTGTATCAGATGCTCTCATGTTCTATCATATGCTATATGCTCTCATGTTACAGTGGTCGACAGCACGTCAGTCTGAGGTGAGTCTCAAAAGGAGGCACCGCCGAAAGAATCCAAAGACTCCCCCGTGTGATTCCAACAGAATAGCGCCCTAAGAGCCTGAGAGCAATGTACCTCCATTGCCTAGCTAGCCCTTGTAAGCGGCTCACACGGGCTCTTTGACACGGTGCCCAAAAGACATGAGAACACTTCGCTGCACTTCCGACAAGGTACTGCTCATGGGAGGAAATGCTCCTGAGCTGTTACCTGTCTAGGCCTTCTTCTCCGCCTGCTCCAGGGCCTCGATGCCCTCGATGAGGTGCTGCATGGCCTCCTCGGCCGTGTCAGCGAAGCGGAGCTGCTGCGCGTCCCAGTCGGAGATCATGCCGTAGTGGACGAAAGCGTCCCACTGGATGCAGTCCTTCCAGAACTTCTTGCCGATGAGCACAATCGGCAGCTGGCGCTTGATCTTGCCCGTCTGCATCAGGGTCAGCAGCTCAAAGAGCTCGTCGCACGTCCCGAAGCCTCCGGGGGCAACCACCAAACCCATGCATTTGAAGGCCATCCAGAACTTGCGTGTGAAGAAGTAGTGGAACTCGAAACCCAGTTCCGGCGTGACCCAAGGGTTCAGGCCATCTTCAAAAGGAACTGAGATGCCCAGGCCGATCGACTTGCCCTTGGCCATCGCAGCGCCCTCGTTGGCCGCTGCCATCATTCCAGGGCCGCCACCCGTGCCCACGTGGTATTCGGGCAGACCCTGCTTGCTACGCTTCATGCTCCACTCGCTAAGCAATCGGCAAGTTTCCCTAACCACGTCGAACATGCCAACCAGAAACTCCTGCTTCTTTAGCCTCACAAGGGCAGCTTGGATCTTCGCGTCATCTGGATTGGCTTTAGCCTTGGCCTCGGCTTCCTTCACCGCCGCCTCGTACTGCTCCTTGGGCTTCGCTCGCGCGGAGCCGAAGAACATGACGATGTTGTCCACGGAGTTTGCGTTTAGCCTCTCCTTCGGTTCCTCAAGCTCGCACATGATGCGGATCAGGCGGGCCTCCGTGGAATTCAAGAAGTCGTTGTTCTTGTACGCCTTGGGGGGCTTCGGGCCACCCACATCGGCGCCGGCCACCTCGTCGTGGCTGCGCTTGGCCATGGCGGAAGAAGGATTGGAAACTATCTTAAGCCTTGGCCGCGCAAGCACCGGAATCAAAAACGTGTCAAAGGTGATGAGGCAAAAATCATCAGGCGAGTTTGCTCTACGTGGCTTTCCGAATGGTCCGAATGAAACAAGAACTGAATCTACCGACGACGTTGTTGATCCTCGCAAGAACTTGAACAATTAATCCGCCACTCGCACTAGGCCAGAAAGCCGAATATCCTCTTCCTCCGCGTCATCCGCCTCCTCACCCTCACCCTCCATCACCACATTGTTGTGCAAGTGGAGTAATGGTCAAGCTCCCAAAACCATACGTTGCAATACGTTGCACTGTTCTGTGTTCGATTCGAGCCCAGAGAATTCGAGAGTTTTGTTGCAGTATGTTCTTCGCCCCTAGTTTAGCCTTGCAGGTTTCAGACAGAATGTCGCTTCGGGGAATTTGCTCGAAAATCGCAAGAACATAACCTTCACAGAGAACACAAATGCAAATTTTGTTGGTAGCTGCGCGCTGGTGTCGTGCATGCATGAGACAGCCTGCTGCATGTTGAACAAAGTAGCCGTAGCCGCGCTGCATTGCACAGCTTACTTACCAAGCTCCATTCAGTGGTCTTGTGCTCAGGTTGTCTGGGTCAAGCCGATATGCCGTCAAGAAAGAAGCCATTACGCTAAACTGTTGTTTGGCAAAGCAGTTGATCGGCCGCTTCTTGGGTTACGATCAGAGCTGATGCAGGCCCTGCAAATCAAGCCCTCCAAAGAGTTCAATGACAGACACTGCCCGTCGTGCACACACACACACTCACAAACTTGCGCAAGATTCATGCGAATGATTTTTCTGTGATTCAGGCACCCCGGCTACTCTCAGACCTTACTTGACAGTCGACTGACGACGGCACTGAGGATGTACCAGGCATCAGTCTCACTTCGTCTATGCGTTCGCTCAACTGCCCGATCCAAAAGCTCCAAAAACGCAGCCCTGTAGGCTGCGTCGATTTGCATAGGGAAGCTTGCGACTTCAGGGCAGGGTTCGGGATGGCTTGGAGGGGGTTCTTGTCCACGATGGACCCCTCATACTTTTCGGCTATTCCCAGCTAATACTTCTCGGCTCAAACTTCCCTGCGCTTTCGTTCCTTCCTTGTCGCCCCAGGTAGCCCAAGGTATGGCTGGGCGAGGTACGGCTGGGCGATTCTTTGACATCAAAAACTTCAGAAGCACCGTCGGCAGCATTGCGTCCGATCAGAATTCCGAGATCCACTAGACTCTGAGATGCCGCCAGCGCCTCAAAGTCCGAGGTGTCCTCATGCATCCTCCTCTCTTTCATGCTGCCAAAAAGCTTTATCAGATGCTCTCATGTTCTATCATATGCTATTTTATTTTCTCCCACGTTACAATGGTCGACAGCATGTCAGTCTGAGGACTCAAAAGGAGGCACCGCCCAAACTCCCCGTGTGATTTTGGGCACAACTGCAATGGAGGAATAAACACAGACATGAGAGCAATGCCCCTCCAGTCTTTGCAGCTCACACGGGCTCTTGGACACGGTGCCCACCGTCAGTACCTTCAGTACGCCGAGTAGCCTCGCCTCGGTGCCGGTTTCCCCGGCCCTGATTGCGAGCGCTTGCGCAAGTCGCCCAACATGAGCCGGCCCATTGCCTCAAATGACGCTGTTCGACAGGAACGAGAGAGCACGAGAGAGCACGAGAGAGAGAGAGAGAGAGAGAGAGAGAGAGAGAGAGAGAGAGAGAGAGAGAGAGAGAGAGAGAGAGAGAGAGAGAGAGAGAGAGAGAGAGAGAGAAAGAAAGAGAAAGAAAGAGAGAAAGAGAGAGAGAGAGAGAGAGAGAGAGAGAGAGAGAGAGATAGAGAGAGAGAGAGAAGGGAGGAAAAGATGATAGAGAGAGAGAGAGAGATATATATATATATGGTCGCCCCCCCCCCCCCCCCATGACACGCGCAGGTCCCTCAAACCTCGGCAGGCACGATAAATATGGCTTTTTGTCACGAATCGATTCTCGACGCGTTTCAGTGAAGCACAGTAGCAGTAGCAGTTAGAAAGTCACTTTTGAGAGGATCTCTGCTGCATATGCTCGCTCAGATGGCGACAGGTGATGCTCTCCACTGTTGTTGACTTTGTACATGAGGTTCCCCAGGCTGTAAAAGATGCTTCCATCCCTGAGTTCACAGACCCGCTTCTCATGTACTGTCGGTGCGCATGGACTTCTCGTACCGGGGATGTCGGCAAAGTCGCGAATGATGAGTGCGATCTCATCTGACCACTTTGCATGGATGCATGTTAGCACGTGGAGGTGAGGCGCCATGAGTCTTGGAAATGGTCGTATGCCTGCTTGAAAGATGGCTGCGACGCGACGTCAGACTGTGTTTCAGATGCATGTTCATGAATCATCCGCTGAGTTAAGCACGTGCTACTTACTACTGCCGCGATGCAAATGCAATATTTTCCTTGCCACGCGCAAGTTCAGGTGCAGACTTGACACAAAATAGTCAGCGGGTTCTTCAAGCAGGCCTCTTTCATCGCAGCGCTAGAATTACGTACTGTTACCTCAGTTTTTTCACCTGCACAACTTCTCTAGCATAATGCCCGTGCTCTTCCAAGCATTCTGCCCACGAAACCAAGATGTGAATTGCGCGGCTCGAATTTTGCGTCTCAGTACGACATTCCCTGGTTTTCTGCTCGTGTAGCGTATGTAGTTCCTGAGATGGCCCCATAATCTATCGATCACCTGGGTTCCTGATTTCACCTTCAAGACGGTCTTGTTGGGCAATTTGATGTTGTACACCTTCGTGTAGTTCGGCTTGACCCAGACAACCTGTATCACATACAAAAAATACATATACACTCACACGAAAAAAACTGAATATAGTTTATTCATATTTCCCACCTTGCGTTTTAGTGTATCTATATAACAATTACCTGAACAAAGGTTTCCCGACCTTCTTGTTCACGATCATCTTTTTTTCTTGCGTACAACGTGACAATGATGCACTCCAGGAATGTGAAGTTTGTACGCACGGGCTCCATCTGTGTGCAAAACGACACGCCGGTCGCGAAGAACAGAAGAACCGATTTTACGCCACTCTTCCTTCCTGATTGGACCAGGACCTGGAGCTCGAGCTTTGGTGCAAGGTGGGTCCAACCTGTAGAGCCTGAGTGAGGAAGGTCGTCCCCTTTCAACCACTCCACTCCACTGTGCCCACTTCAAGGCCTGCCCTGCATCGAGAGCTGCTTCGTCCACGGCCTTTCCCACATCGACCTCATCGGCCTCGACGTCTTTCCATACACTGTTCCGGGTTCCCCCATAGGCAATGGACTTCTCTTCTCTACATACATGGCCCTGGCTGCGTCTAGATTCTTGAAGATTCTCTCAACCGGCTTGTGGTCTGTGTCCAGTACCAAGTGCGTCGAGTTGATGGGCACACCCGCTACTGCGGCATACAAGATGGATGCTTGTAGATTGAGTGAGGTACGAGACCTGCCGGTGCCCTGGAAGAAGATGGGATGGAAGTCATGTGGCTGGAGGTACTTGTGACAGGCGCGGGAACTGCACTGATGAAGCCATGCTTTACGACACTTCACGTACTTGAGCTTGCCCAGCTTCCCCTGGCCACATCGCGGACATTGCTTCTTTGTCCATTTCGGGAGTATATTTTCTTTCTGCAGTGTGCGAACTAACTCTCGGTAGTTCATGCTCATGAAGCCTTGAATGGAGTAACCCCAGCGTTGCCGATGAGCACGAAACTTCGTGGACACTTGACCATGTCGAACATAAGGCACCGCCTCGTAGGTGTTCTTGGCGGCAGGCTTTTTAAAGCGGCTCGACGCTTCCCTCGTTTTGGAAGAGGCCAGACCTGGTTCTTTGCCTTGCTACTCTTCGGATACTTGCGTTTCGGCATAGCAGAAATCTATACAGGAACTCTACGCCCACTTGATTTCACACACGTGCACGAGACACACTTCTGCTTTTCCTACGAGTATTTACATATGCGCAGATGAGAGCTGCCTATGCAAGCGCTAGATTTTCAGCTTGTCACCACTGCAGATGTTCTCAAAACTTCACACTTTGTCGTGTGGTGGGTAGCCCATTCAGTAAGTGCACTGATAGCCTTGAACTTTCTAATATTTCTTATTTTTTGTAACAACGGTCCTTGTGAATAATAGTATAGCAAGATGTCAGTACGTCGACTCCGAACTTGGGCTTTGCGACGGTATCTTAGACCAGACGGTGAAACATTTCAGTTGCGCTCACTCAGAGAGCCGCCGTGCTGGAACACATCCGGCTCCGAGTCGGTTGCGATGTAAGAAGTCCGCGTTGGGAATGGGAGCGGAATCAGGTGCGCGTGGGCCAAGTGACGTGCTTGCGACTGCATGTGGAGGCGAAGACGTCTTCTGCGATGATCCCTTGCCTGACGATGTTGGTGACAGTTCGAGCACTGTACTGGGACCGAGAGACTTGCTGAAGGTGTTGCTGCGAAGTAGGAACTCTTGGTCGAATCTTTCCCTTTTGACTTTCGCCTCAGGTGTCATGGGTGCTGGAGTCTCAGGAGGCGGGCTGTCTGCGTCTAGTGCGACTCCTTCACACATAGCAGCTCGGCCTTCATGAGCTTCCGAAAACTCCTCAGCTTCCATTTTCATAACATACCGTGGTAGTAGACTGTTGGTAAAGCGCTCCTCGACCGTGTGCTTGCTGTCGTGCTCCTGCAGCACATGCTCTAGCCACGCTTTTTCTGCAGCTGCTCTAGCGGGAAAGTCCACTGGCGGAGGACCATTCTTCTTGTAGTTGTTGAACCTGTGCTTGCAGTCGTCCAGAAGTATGTCCCTGAGAGCCCATTTCTGACGAGACACCCTCTTCTCGTGCTGTGATGGAGGCCTGAAGTAGACGCTGTCTTTGGTGAAGACAATGAAGCAACCCCGTTTGAGAATGGCGCGAGTGTCCGTGTCAGAGATGTACCCCAAGACCGGCCGAATCATCTTGACGAACTCCTCATGCGAGATGTCAGACGCGTTCAGATCAACCTCGAGCGCTACATAAGCGTTGTCAACTACAATGCGCGATTGGCCCTTGACGAACTTGGCGGCATTCCACCGCTCCTTCAACATGCCTTCCTCATCACCAACATCCGCGAAAGCCTTCTTCTTTTTCACACTTTCCGCACAGATGTCGCCGTCGTCGTACACGGCAGGGATAGTCTTGTCAAAGAAAATCCCGCGGAAGAAGTCAAAGTCCGAAGAAGAACGGAAAGTGCCCTCCCCACTGAAGTACCGACTGAACATCATCGCAGTCACCCGCGCTAGCGGAGTCTTACCAACACCCGGCTCCCGGAGCAGCCACAGACTATGATCAGCCAAATGTGGCACGAGTACCTTGAAGATAGTGTTCAAAAAGGTGGGGCGGAAGTCCTGGATTGTCAGGTCGTACCGTGTGGTCAGCTTGGCCAGGCAGCCCTCATTGGCTAACGAATCTAAAGCTTTCTCAACCAACTTCTCAGACCAGCCCTTGATGGGGCTCCCCTCCTTACTGATACGCTTGTGAATCCAGCGCAACTGCTTCAGCTGGCTACGATCCCGCTCACCGTGTTTGATGATAAACTCCCAACCAGCGTCCTGGTCATCCTCATTGGTGGTGTTGCCGAGCGCGGCCGCGGACGCAGATCTTTTTTTTTTCACTCGTCAAAGAAAACTGTCGGAACTGTAGACCGCCCATTTGTTCCATCATCCACTGCAAGGCTTTGCGCTCAATTTGTTTGTGACCCGCACCCCAAACGATCTCGTACCCCTGGCCCACAATGTGCTTCTGGAGTGCCGCTTGCGTGACTTTCACTTTCGTGAGGTAGATGTGCTTCACCAGTGTCATGTTGCCGTTGTTCTGTGTCAGGACAAAGTACTGGGACTTGTAATCGAACCGAGGATTGCCAACTACTTTAAACGCATGAGGCAAGGCGTCCCAGGACTTGTTCTTGATGATGCCCCGAGTGTCCTCTAGATCGAGTTCCTCGGCAGGGATGTTGTGGACGATGTCGATGAAGTGACGCACTTGTGCATTAGGATGAGCGAGCCTGATGTGTGTGTCTGTGTTGAATATATGTAATTAGAAGTATTGTAATATCACCAATATTAATGACTAGGAAAAATGTATCCACGATAGCCGAGTGGCTCACGAATCGGAAGAGTCAATACGTTTATAGCCCCTTCCGGCATAGGTCCAACGCAGACGTGTTCATGAAGCTCTCGCAGCACCATGTCTTCCGTTGCTTCTTTCGCTTGTTGGAAGCAGATATTCTCTGGGTCCATGGCGATGAACAGATAGTATACAAGACACACTAGTTTGGAGCCTCATATATCACCGATTGTGCACACGTAACGTTGTGGTGCCTCTGCATATCAAGCTCCCAAACTTTCAGATTCCAGCATCTTTGGGGCTAACAAGTCTAAAAATCCAAAATTCCAATTTGTTTTGGGGGCTAGCAATTCCAATATTTCCAAAATTCCAACTTTTGTAAGCCTAACAATTCCAAAATTCCAAAATTCCACATTTTTAAGGCCTAACAATTCCAAAATTCCAAACTTCCTACATTCCAATATTCCATAATTCCAATATTCCATTATTCCACATTTTTAGGCCTGGCCATTCCAAAATTCCACTTTTGTATGGAATTTTGGAATTTTGGAGTTTTGGAATTTTAGAATTTTGGAATTTTGGAATTTTGGAATTTTAGAATTTTGGAATTGTTAGGCCTTAAAAATTTGGAATTTTGGAGTTTTGGAATTGTTGGGTCGAAAAAAATTGGAATTTTGGAATTTTGGAATTTTGGAATTGTTAGCCCAAAAATTCAGGATTTTAAAATTTCAGAACCCACCCCCTCCATGACAAGCACGATTTGCGAGTGTCATGGGGGGGGGAGGGTGAGCTATATTATGAAGATCCCTGTTGTCAGGAGCTGGCACCATGCCAAAAACTTCCCACATTAGGCCTACCATGCGCGCCGCGCCTCGACCTTCATCGCGTCAACACCGGCGGAGTGCTGCGGCTGCGCTCCGCCGGAATTGACACCAGCGACTGCCGAAGAACGGAGGATTGAAGTTGGCGTGCCTCTTGCGCAGTCAAATCCTTGGTCGGGCAAGAAAGAGAAAGAAAGAAAGAAAGAAAGAGAGCAAGAAAGAGAGAGAGAGAGAGAGAGAGAGAGAGAGAGAGAGAGAGAGAGAGAGAGAGAGAGAGAGAGAGAGAGAGAGAGAGCGAGCGAGCGAGCGAGCGAGCGAGCGAGCGAGCGAGCGAGAGAGGGAGAGCGAGAGAGATGAGTACGAGATAAGTGAGAGAGAGAGAGAGAGAGTGAGAAAGAGAGAGAGAGAGAGTGAAGAGAGGAGAGAGAGAGAGAGAGAGAGAGAGAGAAAGAGAGAGGGAGGGAGGGAGGGAGGGAGGGAGGGAGGGAGAGAGGGAGAGAGAGAGAGAGAGAGAGAGATATATATATATACATATATAGAAAGAAAAAAAGAGAGAAGGATAAAGAGAAAAAAGAAACATAAGAGAAAGAAACAAAGAGAATGAGATAAAGAAAAGGAGAGAAAGAAAGAGAAACCGAAAGGAGTGGAGTGGAGTGGAGTGGAGTCTTGCAACCGCGCCGCCGGCAGGTCTGTCATCCTGTCCTGCGCGCGAAGCAAAGTGAGCGAATCTCTCCAACTTGCAGACTGTTTCCAGATTTTAAAAACCAGAGATAGCATCACCAAGAAGGCAAGACACAAAGGTCAAGATTTTCGTTACTAAGGCATGCCCTCTCCACTTCCTTCTTAACCGGAACAGCGCGCTACTCTCGGCTCATGCCCTCACACGCTTGATTAACATCAGCTCGTCTTTTTGGAGCTGAACTCATCACATACACTGCATGGACACGAAGCGCATGTCCCCAGCGCGCCTCTTCCTCCTCCTCTTCCTCCTCCTCCTCTTCCTCCTCCGCCTCCTCTTCCTCCTCCGCCTCCTCTTCCTCCTCCGCCTCCTCTTCCTCCTCCACCTCCTCCTCCATAATCTCCTCCGTCGGTGGCTCACTGAGCTTGCGCAGCTCCTGCGAAGCAATGTCGACAAGCTGCAAATTGCCAATCACTGAATCTAGGATTTGATTGCAAACGCGCAAAGCATCCGCCATCAGTGGGAAGCCATCTTACTCAGAAGCGGAAGCACACAATCCTGAGCATGCGCCTTTTCGAACGCCTATGTAAAGCGATTCTTGCCTGAGTGCAAGAATGAAATCCCTGCCCACCTCGTAAGTGAGCCTGAGTGCTTCCCGCGCCTCAAGAAAGGTGGAGTTAACACTGCTCTCGTTCCTTTCCTTCATTTCACTAGAAAGTTCCTGGGATTGCTTCCGGACTCCCTACCGCTTTAAGTTTGCACGGATTCGTAGGATGTCTCATGAGTCTGGGCCCTGCAAAACGCGCAGCATGAACGCCCTCCCCGGCTACACCTGTCCACCATGAATCCTTTCCCAAGTCAGCCCTGCCCACCTTCGATGCCACCGCTGGGCCGACTTGGAGCTGGCACAGACAGATAAAGCTAGAAGCGCAGCGCAATGCCTGACGTTGCCTGACCAAAGCCTCTGACAGCCCTAACACCTTGATAACGCAAGGAGGGCAGACAATGTCTGGTCCGAGCTTCATCGGGACGCCGGTCCTTACAGGGCATCAAAGGCGTGCACCACCAGTGCTTCGGTACTGTACCGACCCGCCGGGGTCGGCGGCAACGGCGTTGGCTTCTGAGTATTCTGTTCAATTCTGTTCTCTGAGGATTATTACTTTCTTCCTCGTCTTGCTATTCCTTTCCGTTCACTTACTTACATCTTCAAAAACCGGGATTCATTCTGTTTCTCCTTTTCTTACAATCATAAGTTTAGTTAAGAACGGCACATGAACGAGAGAAACGAGAGCGCCTTTTCTTTGCTTCCTTGTTGTTCACTTCTTTTTCACGCATGAAAAGATAAAAAGGAAAAAGAGAACAGTGAATGAAACATGACTCATTAAAGGACTGAATTACTGAGAGCCCCAAAGATAAGATGCTTCCAAGGAGTTTTCTCCCTCTCTCTCTCACAGAAAGACTAAGGGCTACGAACCCGCATACCTTGCCACCTTCATACGTTTATTATCAAAATCCCCAATCGCTAGCTCATGTACTAACGAAATAAAAATGCTAACTTCGTTTATGCCTTATTAAATATGAAACCCTGTATGATTTATTGGGTCTTGTTTTACGCTATGTTGGTAATTTATAAAGTGGCCCTATTGATAAAGGTTCTTCAAGGGCCAATAATTGTAGTACATGTGTCTGTACTGTACCGACCCGCCGGGGTCGGCAGAAACGACGTTGGCTTCTGGGTACTCTGTTCAATTCTGTTCTTTGACGATTACTATTTCTCCTCGTCTTACTATTCCTTTCTTGTCCTTGTCGTTTGCGTCGTCTTCGCCTGAGCTTTTTGGATGACATGCTTCTTGTCGTCCTTGTTTGCCGTTCTTTGTCACTGTCGTCATGGTCATTGTGGCTGCTGTTGCTGCTGTTGCTGCTTTTCCCTTGCTGCTGTTGCTGCTGTTGCTGCTGTTGCTGCTGCGGTTGCTCTGGTCGCTGTTGTTGTTGCTGCTGGTGCTGCTGTTGCTGCTGTTGCTGTTGTTGCTGTTGTTCCTGCTCCTGTGCCTGTTCCTGTTGCTGGGTGCTGTTGTTGTTGCTGGTGCTGGGTGTTGGTGTTGGTGTTGTTGTTGTTGTTGTTGTTGTTGTTGTTGTTGTTGTTGTTGTTGTTGTTGTTGTTGTTGTTGTTGTTGTTGTTGTTGTTGTTGTTGTTGTTGTTTTTGTTGTTGTTGTTGTTGTTGTTGTTTTTGTTGTTGTTGTTGTTGTTGTTGTTGTTGTTGTTGTTGTTGTTGTTGTTGTTGTTGTTGTTGTTGTTGTTGTTGTTGTTGTTGTTGTTGTTGTTGTTGTTGTTGTTGTTGTTGTTGTTATTGTTGTTGTTGTTGCTGTTGCTGTTGCTGTCGCTGTTGCTGTGGCTGTCGTTGTTGTTGCTGTTGCTGTTGCTGTTGCTGTTGCTGTTGCTGTTGCTGTTGTTGTTGTTGTTGCTGTTGCTGTTGCTGTTGCTGTTGCTGATGGTGACGTTGGTGTTGGTGTTGGTGTTGGTGTTGGTGTTGGTGTTGGTGTTGGTGTTGGTGTTGGTGTTGGTGTTGGTGTTGTTGTTGTTGTTGTTGTTGTTGTTGTTGTTGTTGTTGTTGTTGTGTTGTTGTGGTTGTTGTTGTTGTTGTTGTTGTTGTTGTCGTCGTCGTCGTTGTTGTTGTTGTTGTCGTCGTTGTCGTTGTTGTTGTTGATGTTGTTCTTGTTGTTGTTGTTGTTGTTGTTGTTGTTGTTGTTGTTGTTGTTGTTGTTGTTGTTGTTGTTGTTGTTGTTGTTGTTGTTGTTGTTGTTGGTGTGTTGTTGTTGTTGTTGTTGTTGTTGTTGTTGCTGCTGTTGTTCTTGTTGTTGTTGTTGGTGGTGTTGTTGTTGTTGTTGTTGGTGGTGGTGTTATTGTTCTTGTTGTTCTTGTTGTTGCTGTTGTTGTTGTTGTTGTTGTTGTTGTTGTGGTGTAAGATTCTGGCCCAAGATGAGGATTTTATTTCTCGTAGCCGTAGCGAGCTTTCTTGGGTGCCTGGGTCCCAAGTCCCAGGGTCCAGCCATGGATCAGAATCGAGGGTTTCGGGAAGTAGCGCCCCCCGATGAAGCTGAGCAGCATGCGCAGCGAAGTCAGCTAACCATGAACAAAACCGGCAAGCGAAGCTACCAAAGAGCTTGTAAAGTTGCCCTGGCGAAGGGAGCAGCACTTTACAAAGGCCGTCTTCTGACAGCTCAGGCTCTGGGAGCTCACGAAGGACAATTCGCGTCTCCTGCGAAAGCGGAGAGGCGTTCTTTTCAACCGAACAGACAGATCCATCACAAATTTGACATGGAAGTCCTTACTTGGAACGCAGGCTCAATTACAAGTCGAGTTTGGAACGAGATTCTGGCCCTTTTGGCAACAACAGAGTACAAGAACATCAAAATCGTTTTCCTGCAGGAATCGCATTGGCAGCAGGACCAGGTCTACAGCTCAGGCCCGTGGTCAGTCCTAACCTGTGGCTCAACAAGCAGACACAAGGCTGGCCTGGTTGTCTTGGTGCATAGCTCACTGGCTCCTCTTTCAGAAATTCGCAGCACTTCCATTGTTCCAGGGCATTTGCAGCACGTCATGATCCCGTGGCAGAGATCCAGAATACATCTCCTGAACCTGTACCAGCACGTCTGGGATTCAAAGCTCTCGAAG